TTCATAGATTTTTGTAATTGTTCATAAATGAATAATGTAATTGTTCATAATGAATAAAAGTTTAGATTGATTGAATTGGAACATATGGAAAAAATTGATGTTGGAAAATAGACATGAGGGCATTTGAAATATTCAAAAAATAATTATTATTTTATGCAATTGGTGATGTGTTAATAGGTAAGCTTTAATTTTGTCAAAAAGTCATTTTTTTAATGTCATGTGCAAATCCAGTATCAAAATCACTTGAATGGAAATTTCAACAGGACCTACTGGGTACTGTTCTTATATTTATGGACAGCTGCAATTAAACATATAATGATTTATTGGAGACAACCCATGAAATACAAGGACATCCCGAGCTAATTCCCTTTTATTTAGTTAATGGCTGGATTGCATAATTGAGATTGTCTTCTACTTTTCCTAATTCCTCCATCTTAGAGGTGAGCTGGATTCAATCCCAAGAATCAAGAATCTTGGCAGATGACTCCAAATGGCTCTATAGGATTGGTTCTTTTATGTGTATTCTTTGGTTGAGCATGGTAGGTCTCACAAACAGGCTGTTTGCCCCTCAATGATTTTACAAGCTCATAAGGGTAACACTTGGAAACCACTTGCCTCATCATATGATCATTTTTGTGTCTGGATTTTTAGTAGAATATTCATGTGATGCTGATGCTTGGAAAGTTTTCTATTGATGCTTCTGCTATTTGGTGTATTATATGATTGGAATACTATTTGTGGTGTTGATTATTAATGTTGTGTCTTGATTTGCATTGTAGTTTTTTAAATCCACACTGGCCAAAATTTGATAGCTCCTTGGAAACTTTCTTGTAACCTTCTTTTAAAATATCCAGCATAACATTAACACATCTAATCAATCATATACACCAAGCAGACTAGTGAGCGATCGTTTCAATACCTTCTACGGATTTAGTTATGATGTGATTCATCTGCCATTTAGTATTGTTGTTTTGGTCGTCATTCAGTGAATATGCAGCCTTCGATTTCCCTTGTTTTGTTACCAGGCATTCCATAAAATTCTACATTATATCATTGCAGTGAAACCACAGAAGGGTGATGCCTTGCTGTTCTTCAGTCTTCATCCCGACGCAACAACTGACACAAACAGCTTGCACGGGAGTTGTCCAGTTATTGAAGGTGAGAAATGGTCAGCAACCAAGTGGATTCATGTCAGATCCTTTGAGAAATCGCTGAAGCATGCAGCAAGCGGGGATTGTGTTGATGAGAATGAGAACTGCCCTTTGTGGGCGAAGGCTGGTGAGTGCGAAAAGAACCCTGTTTATATGGTGGGTTCAGAGGGGTCTTACGGTTTTTGTAGGAAGAGCTGTAAGGTATGCTCGTCCTAGGAATGAAAGGGTTCATACTTAAACACTGTAGATTACAGTGGGCCGTGCTGTCTTTGTACCTGTATGCGGCTTGTCTTTATTAAACCTCAAGGAGCTATACTAGACCTTATGGAGCAGTCATTCGACACTCACACTTTAAACTGTCAAAAATAGAAGTTTTCCCCCTTTTCACTTTGGGGCGGCGTTCATGAAATTCATGGTGTGGATAGGGTGCTTAGGGTTTATTCAAGCAAATGTTTTACCTGGAACGTTGTCCGAGTTCAGGATGTAGTATGCGCTTGCATTAATTTGTCGTAGGGGTGGTATGTAGTATAGTTTTTAAACCTAATCAGGGTCGACTTAGAGTGCATCTCGGGTCATGGTTAGGTGGGTTAGTGGGTTAATTTAAGTTAATTTAATTTTTTTTCATTTTAGAAAAAAAATAAACTATTTTTCTTCAGGTTAAGGGGTTGCAGGTCAGTTAGATTTTTTATTAAGTCAATTTCTCTAATTTTACTGAAAAACTTTCTCTAATTTTTTTGAAACCTAGTCTCGTTTATATCTTAGGTTACTTGGATCATTGATCAATTTCTTAGGTTGGGTTCTAAACAAGTGGTATGTCGTAGTAGGATGCGTGTATATGCTATGTATTAAAAAATAGTAATATATAATAGAATTCTTTCTCTAATATAAAGAAAAAAATTTAATATATCTATTGCGTATCTTTTTATTTACACCATAAGATCACAATAAGAAAATAACAAAAAAAAAAAGCTAAAATGAAAGACATTTTTGTTATATATCAGCACATGTTTTACTAGAATAGGATAATTACTATTTTTTTCCTCCAAAAAAAATGCCAATAGCATTGGTATTGGAGGTATTTTGGTCTTTTTACAAGATCCATTGTTTATTATTAGGTTGAGTGGGGTAAAATTATCTTTTCAATTTATTATTAAGGCCAGTGAAATGTTTTTTCTACCCTTAAAAACTAAATTTTTAAAACTAATATTTAAGGATATTTTAGTCATTTTATTTTTATATACAATAAAATAACGGAGTCATCTTTAAAAATAAAATTTTTAAAACTTGCATTATGGTGTTTTTTTTTATTTTTTTGTTATAGTTTTTTTTGCTATTATTAGTTGAGTAAGGGCAAGTTGATTTTTTAAATAAAAATAAAATATTATTTAAATGAAAAAGTGGTTGCACGAGAGATACTTATGACCTACATGTATGACACCTTCTAAAGGCAAAAAATTTCTTTTTGTGTCATTGTAATCATTGTAGTGTCTTTTTCCTAGTGTGGTAGCATAATAGTTTGTAATCAGTGGAATTTTTTTTTCTTTTCTCATCTCATCAAAAATCACGCTGACTATTAAAGATTTTAAAATTATCCTTTTAGTTATTGATATTTCAACTTTAAACTTTATTTTTATTTTTTTATTTTCGATTGTTTTGTAAAATCTTCATTTGTTTTTAATTTCAACATTCAATCCCAATTTTTAATATATATTTTTTTCAATTTGATTCTTATTCTTTTAGTTTTTTTTGCACTTTTGTTAAATTAATTTTTCTTTTCAATTTCATCCTTCAATAAAAAAATTATGGTTATTCTTTTATTTATTTTTTTTTTTAATTTTGATCCTTATTTTTTATTGCTGTATTTTTTTTTGTTTTTATTTTAATTTTGATCCTTATTTTTTTATTGCTGTATTTGTTTTTTGAATCTTTTTGTATAATTGATTTTTTTTTCAATTTCATCTTTTAATATTTGATTGGTTGAGGATTGAACTTCATAATTTTTCCAGATATAGTGCTTTCAATCTAATAACCAAGGTCATAGATTTGAGAAGTTAACACAGGTTGACATTATTTTTTTTAAATGGGTTTTATGGTTTTCTTTTCTATCAAATTTAGGTTATAAATTTGTCACGTTAACTTGAACTAAAGCTAAATTTATTTTAATTTTTTTTTATCTAATTTCATTATTCCGTATTTAATTAGTTAATAATTGAGTTACATTTTTTTTTCTCAAGTTATTGTGATTACTCTTTTTACTATTTTAATTTAATTCATTTATTATTATTGTCTATTTTTTATCATTCAATTAAAATAAAATCGTTTTTTTATTTAATGAAGTCTAATAACCTGAGTTATAATATCTTTTCATTATTTAAAAAGGCACTTCCAACGCATGAGCATGATTGGTTTTGTGGTTTTCTTTCCTATCAGGTTATCATAATCTCATTACTTGGATCGTGGATTTAACGAGTTAACTTAAATTGACTTGCTACTTATTATCTAGGTTATAAGTTTGTCATGTTAACTTAAATTAAAACTAATATTTTTTTAATTTAATTTTTTTATCTAATTTTATCATTCCATATTTAATTAGTTAATAATTGAGTTATATTATTTTTTCTCAAGTTATTGTGATTACTCTTTTTATTATTTTAATTTTATTCATCTACTATTATTGTCTATTTTTTTAATCATTTAATTATAATAAAATCATTTTTTTAATTTAGTGAAGTCTAATAACCTTAGTTATAATATCCTTTTCATTATTTAAAAAGCACTTCCATCACATGAGCATGATTTCTTATGAAAAAAATAGTTAGGTCTGCGGGGTAGTATGGACCCACGACTAATAAGTTTCCTAATTCTCAATTAATTCTATTATAAATTCCTTGAATTATTTCAGAATTTATTATAGTATGAAAGCTAAATTATGTCTTCTATATCCACATTAATATTTAATTATAAGATTATGTAATATTTCTTTGAAAAATCACTGCGATTAGAAATTTAAATTGAACATGAATCAATAATGTCCAGTGTTGTGTCTAAATATTTTAAGATTATTATGTTTTAAATTATATTTGTGATTTGATTTATAATGTTTATTTTTAAGAACAAGACCAACCGAGAATTTAAATAATTGAATATCTACATAAAATATATTCATATTTTGATTTTCCTTTTCTTTTCTTTTTTCATTTTAGTTGAAGATGTGAATTTTGCTAATTTATTTCCTTTCGATAAATAGCTTTAGAGATGGTTAATTGGGTTGAATGAGTATGCTTGGGTGAAGATATAGGTGGGGCGCAAAATAAATAAGTTTATTTAGAAATAGATTTGCAGCACAAATGAGATAAAATCCAAGCTAAGCTATTCTTTTCTTTTTATAATCCGGGATATTTAGAGTAACTTATATATATTATAATTAATTTTTGAATTTATTAAACATCTTGCAAGTCTAATAAACAAATAAAACAATGAAAATAATATACATGCACATAAAAATTTGAACCTAGAATGCAGAGGAAAGGAATTCTTTACTAGGACTGCTAGCCATGAACTTCTTACATCTATATATATATATATATAAAAAAACAATAATTACGTAAGAACTGAATATATATTGATACGTACAGTGAAATTACTGAAAAAATTGTTCATTAAAAGAAGTAATATTGCTCCCAGGTATGATAAAAGGCAGTAGACTACGAAGTGTGGCTGCAGTTCTTAAAATGGCAAGAACAGTGCGGGAGCTGCCATCATTTTTTTTTATTTTTCTACTTGGATGGGAGACCAAGTGCTATAGGCCCTGTTTTATAAATGGAAACTTCTGTAGCATTAGAAGTTTATGCAGCTGGCCCCTCTGCTAAATTCTCATAGCAACAGCTCTGTGAATCAAGCGGAGAGAGCCTGCGCAATATTCTTGGTACCCTGAGATGCTGACGACGAGGTCTGATCACTGTGTCATGAGAATATTCTGCACGCAGGCCAGAGCCAGAGATTTCAGTAAAGAGGATGCCTAATGCCCCCTGACACAAGAGTCGCATTGCCCCTCCCCATAGCTTAGAAAATCAATTTGTATTTCTCACGTCAGGCAGGCGTGACCTAATATATAGTAACACAGCACAAGAGAACTGCTTCATACGTATGCGATGAGCTCAAGGAAACAAAATGTTAATACTGGGGCCAAAGATAAATGGAGAGGGAGGGAGGGGATGCCTCGTATGGCGATGGCATGCGTTCGAGAAAAACAGTTAAGAATGAGAAGATGAAAACTGATCATGCAATTGCTGTTCATTGGGAGCCACCATGCTTTTCTTGCCACTTTTCACTTGTTAAATGCATGCATATTTCGTTAATTCTCTTTAATCTCTTCTTCGCCGTGTTTTACTTAGCAGTATATGTACAGCAGCAAGGGTTTAGGATTGCCAAGCAGCAAAATCTAGCAGATGATCAAGCAATTATCAGCCTCTTAATTAGTCTCGATCTCGTCTCTTCATTCTTAATTTGCCCCCTATTATCCTGAACGTCATACAATGGGGAGACCTCCCTGCTGTGATAAATCCAACGTGAAGAGGGGCCTTTGGACGCCAGAGGAAGATGCCAAGATACTCGCTTATGTTTCCAATCATGGCATTGGTAACTGGACTTCGGTCCCCAAGAAAGCTGGTATACATGTGTTAATTTAAAGTAAATTTATGTCTACATATATATATGATGATGATCATTTCTCTCCTTAATCTTTGGACATGCATATTCATGTGTCCATCTCCACTCTACGCCCATGTACAGGACTGAACAGATGCGGGAAGAGCTGCAGGCTGAGATGGACTAATTACCTGAGGCCAGACCTTAAACACGAGAGATTCGCTCCCGAGGAGGAAGAGCTAATTATTAAGCTGCATAAAGCGATAGGTAGCAGGTGGGTTTTTTCACTCAAGATTCCTTGATCTTGGCAAGGATAATCCATTAAGAAATATCAAGTAATAGATTAGCACGACTTCTTACGGTAACTAACACCTCAAGGCCTCAACCTGCAGATGTATCCAACTATTTAATCTGGAAGATCGATCCCTAAGATTTTGTTGATTGAAACTTTGAACTCGATCGATTCACAAACTTTTATTTGATAAATCGATCAATCTACATGTTTTTCCTCCTTGATTTTATGCATGGCCGTCAAGCTCAAAGCAAATCCTTTCTTTAAAGAGGGAAAAAAGAAAGAAAGAAAAAAGCAGTCTCAGAAGCTGTAACAATGGTTGTTGGTTTCATTTTTTGAAAACAAAAAATCCCAAAAAAAGTAATTAAATTTCTTGTTACTATTTCCAAAAATCTTACAATAAAAAGGGTAATTGAAAACCTGAAACAACAGATTCTTCCCCCTTATTTGTTCACTTTTTGGTGGGTATAAGTTGTAAACTAATAGAGCAAATTCCATGACTTCCAATTGATTGGCCTATTTTTTCCAGGTGGTCTCTGATTGCAAAGAAACTGCCTGGAAGAACAGACAATGATGTGAAGAACTATTGGAACACCAAGCTCAGGAAGATGCTTCAAAAGATGGGGATTGATCCTGTGACTCACAAACCTTTTTCACAGATTTTTTCTGACTTTGGAAACATCCGTGGCATTTCTAACACCGGAAACCTCAATAAATCCTTAAACACCAGTTTGATGTCCGAACCTGATCATCAATTCTCTTCTGCCATCTTAACCACCACTGAGCATTCAAGTTTCAAGAAAACCATGGAAGAGCAAGTGCAGGAATACAATCCTACTGTTACTCACCCCACTTCATGGGACTTTCTGGCTCACTTTCCAGTCCATGACACCAAACAGTTACCACTTTTCTTCAATGAGGTCAGCTCTTCCTGCCCATCATCATCACCATCTTCATCTTCTACCAGCACGTTCACACAGTCCTATTCCTGCCAAAAATCTCAGGCTCCATTCATCACACCCACTTGTACCTTTACGTGGACTGAATTTCTCCTCAGCGATCCTGTTTTATCCACTGAATTTCAGCATCAACAAGAGCAATATGACTTTGATGAGATGTTGTCACCAACCAACTCTTCAACCATGGCAAGGGCACAGAATGATGTATCATCTTGCAACATAACTAGTACTGGAAGCGATGATGATTGGTACTTGAACCGATCGGTTGGGCGGTCGACATATGATCATGGAACTGTCAATAATGGACTTGAAGAGAACAACAATGCTGCCGATCATGCGGCCTATTATTCCTCATCTGCAAGTTCATTTGTCGATGGCATCTTGGACAAAGACAGAGAGCTGCATTCACAATTTCCTCCACTTTTGGATCCCTCTTTTGATTATTACTAGTTCAGAAGCTTGACAGCCAATTTGGTGCTTAAAGCAAAATGTTAATGGAGCCTGCGTCAATTCTATCATATGTAATACAGAGCTACAAACGAAGCTATAGAGCGGGTTATTTTCCCAGTTAGAGACCATTTTCATTAATCATCATCATGAATATGTCATTCATCAATTCTAGTGCTGAGCCATATAATTATTATACACATCAATCTGACTAAGAGCATATATCATGTTAGATTTCCTCCGTAAGTAAAAATAGAGTGCTCGTGGATCAAACATGTGCATGCAATATCTGTGATCATGCTAGCTAAAGGGTGTCATCATCCAAGCTTTGTGTCAAATTTGTTGAATGTACTGTGATCCAGATTAAATTTTACTAGTTTTTTTCTTGCAGCATGCGCTAACATGATCTCAATCTTAATCAGATCAGGAAATTAATCAAGCAGGATCAAAAAAGACTTGCTAAAACCAGCACCACTAAACACATAGAGGGCTTAATTTCTCCTCCCTTTTACACCTTAATTTGACGGGGACTTCTCAGTGTCCTTGGCCATTAATCAGGCTCAATAACCTGTTAATCCAAGGGTGGAAGATGAGTGCCTTCGTGTCGCATTTCTATGAATATATGATCATGCAAACATCGATATCTTCTCCAGCATTTCCCGGAGCCAACATCTACAGTTGAGTTGGCTAATCTAGTAAATTCTAGGATTGTATGGGGTCACTATATATTTAGGTTCTTTAATTTGGGAAAATGCTAATTTTATCAAATAATATATTCAAACTCACTTCCTCAAAATTCTCGCACAAGATGAAAATCGAAGGCATTAAATAAGTGTACAGATCTAAATTCCGGGAGAACTAGCGTTACTCGTCAACAGGTCTCTATGGAATCCATCATTTTGTTATGTTAGTTAAAAGGAAAAGGGGAGAGAGGAATGAAGGGGTCCGAACAAAACAGAGAGAAGAAATCTGAGAGATAAAAGGAAGATTGCACCATGGCTACTGCACTGCAGAGATCATCTGTTTCATTCCGACGACAAGGCTCCTCCGGCCGTGTTTGGGATAATCTTCAAGTTAATCCAAAAAGAAGCAGAGAACTGGTAGACACGCCAGCCGGTAGAAGTCAAGAGATGAGCCCCGGCAATAACGTCATTGATGAGAAAAGCAGAGGGCAGGAATTCCTTGGAGATGAGGCTAACACCATGCGCTCCTACGACCCTCCAACCCCTTGTAAAGAAAAATACAGGGATGAAAGGTGTGGTATTTCAAACTTTTGGAGGTGCTGTAAGGGGCCTTCTACAGCCTAGTTTGTAATTTCTTTTACCGTCATGTTTGTATAATCTGCTGGAATAAATTTTAGTGTTCTCTTGAATTCTTCATCTCTATGGCATTCGGGAGCATTGTAATCACATGAATATGCTGTTATCTATAATCTGCTGGAATAAATTTTAGTGTTCTATTGAATTCTTCTTCATCTCTCTTGCAATCGGGAGCATTGTAATCACATGAACATGCTGTTATCCAGCTTCAATGACATGAGAGTTCTTCGTTGGGATCGATATGATTTTTAAACAATTGATTGATTGATGAGACTATTGGTCTCTGCATATTCCTCCCGTTTCTTCCATCTTTTCCTTTCGTGCCATCATAACCCTGGCTCTTCACGTATATACGGCCAAGTAATAAACTAACGCAGGAAACACAACCGCAAGCGCAGGCGAGTAAGATTAGGCGATAAATGAGTGCTAGAGGAGGGTTGTTTATAAGCGATAAACGTGGTGGAGGCGATAGCATAGATACACACGTATGGTCCCTCTACACTCTTTGCACGGATGATGTCGAAGGGACAATTCACTGGCTGCGGGATGAGCTCTTCCATGCGATGAAATCTTGAATGGAGGTGAATGCCCTTCAAGCACCCGCTAGCAGGAAAACAGAGTCAGTTTCCAAATATCAAAAAATCACAAGAGAAGGTAAGTGAAGCGGAGAAGAATGAATTTATTGCATTCTGTTTCATCAGAACTGTACACTCAAGTTACAATCTATACAAAACAATGAAAGAGCTTAATAAACTCAACAGAGGAGGATACATGATCACATTTGTGCTTGCACACATCCTGAATGGAGATACTAAGATAACGAGTACAAAAAAAGGATTTTTGGTTATCAGATAAGCCTTTCATGGACTAAAAAATGCTTTCGTATCAAAACCCTAGCTCAGTTTAACACGAGACTTGTCAACACCCCAGTTGATGGTACTTGGTGTGGTCCACTTTATTCAGACGCATGCAACATACCAAATGTTCTGGCAAGTCTTCTGGCTTGTGGCCCTGTCAGAAAAAAGACGACATAATATAAGCCATACATCACGTTGCATTGCAAAACAAATTAGCCTTGACAACAATCTAATAGATATATGTTTACCTGAATTGTCAGGCCAAAATCCAAGACACAAAGCTTCAGCCTGTCTTGTAAGGTTTCAAGACCTTTTCTAGAGATGTAGCTAAATCTATGCACATCCAGATCAATCTCCAAGTAGTTTTCTCCCTGTGATAAAATTCAAAACAATTCAAGAATGCACTTTCACTGATCATACTGGAGTTGCATCGCCATGAAACTTTCAATGCTGCAACATTTCAATATAATTCTGCCAGCACAACCAATTAAAATATTAATTGTTCAAGATTTTTTTTTTTTAATGAGCTATCTAAAAGAAAGGAGAGCAATGTGACAACCATAGTTGCAGTCGCACATAAATTTAAACCAGGTTTATAATTACATTAGATCATAATATCAAAAGAGCAGGCACATTAGCTGCATTTCTTTAGATGAAGGGATGACTAGGAAACGGAGCCCAGTACAATCAGCTAGCTTTAGTGAAAACTTTAAATCCAGTTGTAGGATGGAACTAGGAAAAAAAGGAGAGAAAATGAGGTTCATCTGATAACAATAGATCCACAAGACCACTGCATAAACACAAATTTGTTACGTAGAATTGATATGCTCAGGGAGCCTTGAAAGACAACCACATGGAGTACTCCAGGTTTGTGTTGTTGCGGTGCGGCAGACAAGTACATTTTTTTGTTGAGAGAGAGAGTCATATCCTACTGCTTATGATCACCACATCATACAAAATAATGTAACAAAGCAGATTGGAATAAGCAATCTGAAACTTACCAAATAGAATTCATGTTGAGGACGTGAGAGCACAGGTTTCTCATTGTAGGCATTCATAAGCTTCTTTTCAGTAGTGCTTAATTGAAGATTTTCCAGATTTTCTAATCGGCCCAATATTTTTAATCTTTCCCTAAATGGTGCAATGGTATCTAGAGGGAACCCTCTAACCCTCTCCACTTCATCATTAATCAACCTCTGCAAGGAAAGAAATGCAGAAAAACCCAGTTAATGAATTGTTAGTAATAAATAACCCTGATGAGGATGGACAAACAAAAACCTTCATAAAGCTACCATGTAATGCTGTTGCATTATTGTGAGACTTCTTAGTGAGACTTAAAAGAAAAGAAAATAAAAGAAAAAAACCAGCAAGTGCAAAGGTGAAGATGCCTCCCATCTTACACTGATATTCTCTTGAAAATGAGGGGGGAGCTCTTTTGAGTAACTTTCAGACAGTTTAAAATACAGGACCAAGTTCATTCCTTCTCCATCATTTTCACTTTGAAATATTGTGGCAGGATACAGAGGTATCTGCAGGGAAAATAATTCATCTCATCACTGAAGATACTTGGTTAAAACTCTTGACATCAAATACAGCAATTAGTTACATAAACACGGAATTGGGATCTGCAATTTAGCATGCGACAGCATAAAAACCAACCTGGTTCGCAGCATCTTTAAACTATAAATGGACTTAATTGATGTACTAGAGCGATATACCAGTGCTTTTGACCCCATTTTTTTCCATCAAGGGGTAATGAGAACTATAAATAGTAAATTTCAAGCAACATGGAAATGAAAGATACAAGTACCTGAACATTTACGACAAGAACACCAGGAACTTCATCTGATGTGTTGACATGAGGAAGTTCCACAAATCTGGCAATGTGATGAATTTTCCTTGGAGATAGAAAAATGTCAGCACCAAAAGGATAAAATGCGGCACAGTTTGGAGCACAATCTTTCTTCTTATCCCTGTAAAATATATCACATTTAGAACTCTACTTGAGGTAGTAGAAATGAATATCATACAAACATGCATACAAGCCCCATTTACAGAAACAAATGCTACCAACAACGGCCAGCTCATTTTTTTCCTATGCTTGTTACTAAATCAAACTGAATCCAATATTTAAAATATTAAGACACGGTAACTGCAGAGTAAGAGTGATACTGTGTAGTAGCAGATTCAAATAGTAGTTAACTATTTGTGTGACATTTAAATTCATAGTTCTACAAATAGCAGGTGGTTCTTGCATCCCTAACACCTTGTTAATGAAATTACTAAAAGCAAGATAAAGTTCAGATCAAAGATTTCTCAAGTTGAGAAGATCAAAGATAATGATAAAAACAAAGCATTTATTACAGATTGAATTGAGGTAGCTGGAAAGGATAAACAAAGCCAGCGATTCAGCTTTCTATGCTGGACTAAACATGATAAACTATTGATGGAGCAGAAACATTATAATAATCTCACCTAAAATAGTTCTTTCCCCGAACTTTGAAAGTACTCGGCTCAATGGGAGACCAACAATCAGTCATCTTCTTATCTGTGGGGCAGTAAGGGATTGAGGAACCAGCAATAGGTCTTCGCACAAATGCCTTGGGTGAAACTGAAATAAAAGTAGGATGGCGACATGAGATGCAAGTCTACCACATATAGCAGATGATATAAGGGGATGAAACAAAAGGGGGAGAGCATCAAAGTATCAAGTAACGAAAATGAGATAATAAATTTCATAAATTCAGAACTCATGGCAAGTATTATATATTGGAAAAGCAATAGCCTTTTCACCCCAACTTCTGCAATTTGGTCACAACCGATTATGTGGAGATATAATTGAATTTAAGATAATTGTTCATACAGCAGACACTCCAGTAAATTTATTTCCCAGAACAAATTCATACAATAAAAATATTAGTAAAGCATTAGCGAGATGCAATGCCACTACAAAAAAGGTACATAAAACATCGTTTTTCAAGTCCTTAATCAAGGTCAAGACCAGAGCTCACAGGAACTCAAATTGAGTTTAAACAACAATCAACATTCAAAACCATATATTTGAAAGAACAACGAGATATAAGAAGAGAAGGCATGGAAATATAGCAACACTCACCTAAGGTCGGATTAGTAACATTCCCTTCTCTCCGTTTGAAAGAAAGTTTAAGAGAAGGCTTTCTCTTGGAACTCGGTGTGCCTGGACTCAATGGTCTTTTCTTGTCAATGGAAGCGACAGTTGAACCAAGGAAAGACAAGCAATTATTTGGAAGAATCCCACTGTGATTGTTATCCTCTTGACCTCCAACGCTCACATTAGAAACTTCATCCGCATATACAGGAGTCACTTGATCATTACTCCGGGAATCATTGGCTTTAGATTGCATAATATTTGAATCTCTCGGCGATGAAACAGACGCATCCTCTGGTTCGGTAACAGATACAACATCTACAGTTTAATCAAATAAAACATTATTATCATGACCAATCACCAATGGAAATAAATTTAGAAAGAAGGAAACCAAGCCAAAAAAATAAATCACCAATGGAAATAAATTTAGAAAGAAGAAACTAAGCCAAAAAAAATAAAATAGAAATAGGACATACCATCATAGACACTATAAAATTCATCATCAAATTCAGATTCAAGCACAGAAATAGCATCAGACCAGGCACCATCCATGCTTCCTGTATTTTGAACCAAAGATTTTTTTTTTTAAAAAAAAAAAAACTGAGAGAGAGAGCTTGTACACGATTTGCCATGTCCAAAACAAAGAGATAAAAAAAACCTTGAAAAGCAGGATTAGAGTAAGAGCGATCTGGTTGACCGGGAACATTGAGTTTGGAAGCCTTAAGAGAAGAAACACGCCTTGAGATTATTCTTCTTCTTCTTCTTCTTCTTCTTTGCTTCCCGTTTTTCTTCTTATTTGATGATAATAAACAAACACAGCTACCTGGCCTTGATGCACACCCTCCCATTCTCTTAATTTCCTCCTTCCTCTTAAAATCACTCTTCCCTTCCCTCACCGATCTGATTTTTCGACGATACAATACCTACCTACCTCTGTGTGTGTGTCCATATATATATATATAAATTAAAATCGAATAATCTCCTCGGTGGGTCCACAACGCGCTCCTATTTCGTTGCAACGTGGACAAGAGGCCTTCATTTTCGTCCGAGTAACAACAGTGTTTGTGTTTGGAATTATTAAGG